GTAATGATTCCTGAAAAGAAAATCAAGAGTGTTTTGAATTATTCCTCAAGCTTCTTATGTACATGGTGCTGTGCAAAAATATTTGCAGTCCTGGTCATGGCAACAAAAAACCATTCTAAAAAGCAAAATCCATACGCAATTCACAAGAAAAGAGACTAATAGGCAACAGCATGCAGAATAAAACAAAAAAAAGACTGTGAAAAATAAATTTGAAAGCAAAAAAAAAAGACTGCAAATATTTTTGCACAGCACCATGTACATAAGAAGCTTGAGGAATAATTCAAAACACTCTTGATTTTCTTTTCAGGAATCATTACAGCTTGAACCGTTTTTCTGTGGTCTAATTAATCAAGGAATTATTTTTAAATCTTGTAATGCAGTGTCTCAGTTTTGACTGAAGGGAAATAAGGTTAATGTATTCTATTGGTTATCAATGTGCAAATATTTGTTGGTCAAAAAATTTTAGATTTGAGGAGGTTTTAAAAAACATTCTTGAGTAGCCAAGTGCTACTTATCAGACTGTCTTTCCACTTGCATTCTAATTTTTGCCTTGAAAATTACGTGGAGAAACAAGGAAAGAGGAAGAGAATACATTTTTCAACAATGTTTCAAAAGAGAAAAACTCAAAAGCTTTGACCATAATGGAAATGATTGATTTCTTTTTTAAAATTTTATTATGAGAGTACTGATTAACGGAAAGAGCTATTAAGAAACAAATTAACAATGATGGAATTTACTTCAGGCATGCCATTGCATTTGTTTACTGTTATTAAAATATTTTTGCCTCTTCCCCATAAAGTCAATTGTAGATGGATTGCAAATTTTCACTGTTACATTTACTCTCATCTCAGTTGGAATAGGCTTTATTTTGATGTAAGAGTGCAGTTTTCAGTATGGTGCCTAAGAAGGCATTCAGGCAATTGCAAGTAATTGAAATTGCACACCAGATAAAAAAGAAACAAAATGAAACAAAGTAAAGACCCCAGCTCTTCTAGATATAAAAGAGGAAAATCATACTTTGGCAATGAGGAGGTGTAAAGAGGTATCATACAATTTTTCTAAGATTTGGGGCATTAGAAAAATTCAGTAACAGAATGTTCAGTTCAGAACAAGAACAAATATTTTTGTGTTGTTCATCCTTGTTCCTGTTTACTCTTAACTTTCCTTTTGCAGTCTAGTCTGGACTATCAGTTCTCACTGATACCACTTCTGGCACACTTCCCACTTAGATGATGATCAGTCCTCCTCATCTTTCTTTATGAGTCTTCTTTATCACTGTTAAACAAAATCACTATCCTTCCTGTCACTCAGGTATTAGATATTTGTGCTCTTTGTGCCTTATCCAGTAGGAAATATCCAAATACTGCTACTTTCCCCATACAAGTTTTGGAAGCTTCTTTTGCTTCACACATAGCCATGTCTTTCCTCTCACATTGCATTGATCAATGCAGGCTGCTTTTCTTTTACACCTCTGACTCACCAGCTTTTCTCCACTTCACTATTACCACAGCTCTTGCAAAGACCAGATTTGTTAATCTTTTTTTTCTCATTTTCCGTTGCACTCAGTTCAAGTTGTCCCTCTTTAATCTCTCACAGGTCTCTCAGTATTTTTCCCACCTGTTCATGTTTCTTTTGCCATTGTGCCTTCCAGTGTCATGCTTTAGAAATGTCTTTGGCTTTTGTCAGTCTCTTCACTGTTCCTTAACTATTGGAGGAATGGTACTTACTGGTTGTTTTTTTCACAGCTGTCTTCTCCTTGCATAGTTTCCAAAGACCCATCTTTCCATTTGTGTGCATAATGCCTCTGAACTTTCAGGTTCAGCTACACACTTCCCTTTTATCTTTAGCCAAATAAATAAGGGCATACAAAGGAGCAGTTTGTACAGATGAAGATCATGCATTTTTATTAAAAATGGTCCATTTAAGACAGTTAATAAATGTATAATTTGTACTATGCACATATTAAAAGAAGTAAACTGAGTTGTGATAGGCAAAAAAAATTAAATCCTAGTGTTGACATTTAATTTTTACTTTCTATGCTATTATTAATATTTAATGGAGACTATTCTGAGAAAGCACTGATAAGGGCTGCATGTACAATATAGCTTGGGAACTATGACTGTATTTCTGTAACTGTTGTTATTGTTTTAAGATATGTGGCCTAGGCAGATTTTCTTTACTGGAAAGTTAATGTGAAAGGTTGATGTGCCCAAGTAAGTACCTTCTCATTAATAATTTGATCACACGTTTTTTTCCCTTTGTAAAAAAGAGCCTTAAGCTGTTAACACAACAGTTTTCCATTCAGAGAGGAAAAGACCAGAAACAACAACATATCTGCAAATGAAGTAAAATCTTGAAAAGACACTTTTAAGTACACTTATTTCTCCAAAAAGTACTATAGGACCAGTGTAATTGTTATTCTCAGTATAGTAAGACACACTAAGGAATACTTTATGGCAAGAGTATCAGTGTTTGCAAGCTCTTTTCTTGTAGAGAGCTGTATAATAAAGCAGATGTGGAGCTTTATTGTAAGCCATTCTTCATGTAATTTATCTCTAAGGTTTATTGAGAAAGCCTACATCAATTTCCACCCAGTGTAAACTTCAGGTTTTGACACTCTCTATGTAGTTTAACCTATGTTTGTGAGAATATAGCTACCTTTTTTATTGTAAGAGCCTGTGTTTTTTTAAAAAAGCTCTTAAAATAGTATAGAAGAACCCTCACATCTGTCACTGAGGGAGTGATAAAAAAACCTATGTGGCCATGTAAAAGGAAGCAATGAAAAGGAAAAGAATGAAAGTAACAAAACAACCAACAATAACTTCAGCTTTCACTGCGTATATTGCAAAAGCAAATTGTATTTTCTTAGTATGTTTTTTGCTGGCATCTTTTCCATCCTCTCAAATGTGTACTGTTATCCCTGTGTTTTTTAGAGAAAAACAAAGCTAGTGCTTTTTGTTGCAGTTTCAGTCTGGCCTTTGCATGTGATTGAATGTTCTGTGGAGGAGGTCACAACACACAGTTAATTTGTGATTTTTAAATAAATTTGCAGAGTAGCAATGGAACAAATAGATTTCATTTGCTCTGTTCCTAATATTGTGTGCAAAATTACTAATCCACCTCCCATCTCACAAGAACAAGACATTGTAGATAGGTTACTTATTATTTATTGAAAGCTGACAGCATGCTCACTGCTGTGTGAGCAAGACTTTCTGCTCATGGTCTTTCACTGAGGGCAGGTACTGACCTCACCTATATAGACAAGGGCTTTTTACCCAGTTCATGACTGCAGGATCACATTTTTCACTGGTAATGGACAGTGGAGTTCAAATTTATGTTGTAGCATAAGCAGGAAATCTAATTGCTCCAAAAAGATGACCAAAATAACCCAAGTGTTATGAGTTTGCACAGATGTTAGCAGGCAAACCAAGTTCGTAGACGCTTCTCAGTCCTATGGAATAGAGGATTTGAAGGATTTTGTGGCTGCCTTCCAAACCATAGTAAAGGTTTGAAAGCTCAATTAAAGTGAGTGACACTTACTCAAAGATTAAAAAAAAAAAACAAAAAAAAAAAAAGACAAACAAAACCAAACAACCTAGTCTGTAATTAACAGCTTTGTTGTGAAGATTGAGGGTTTTAGGCTGCCTGTGAGAATATTTTAAATAGTATCACATTGAATGCAGAGCATGTCCCGAGGTTCTGCATGAGCTTACTGTACAGCAGATATAATTCTAAACCCATTGTCTGTGACACACAAGAAAGGATCAAAATTAAGAGTGCTTAGCTGCATGGTGAAAGTCTTGAGCATGTGGTAAGAACCATAGTCAGTGAAATAATGTGGGGTCCCACATGTTCTTAGAACTTCATGGACACCAATGTTACCAGATGCTGGCATCTTCTTTACATAATGAGGAGTAACAATCATTTTTTTATTTGTATTTGAGTCTGTATGTATTTTGTTATTAAAAGGTAATAGGGACTGATGAACAAATGCACAGTGCAATAACTGTGAATTAAGTCAAAGGACCATATTGAGTACAGTGTCAGGTCAGTCACTCATTCATACCCCATCAGACCCTCTTAGTAGCTGCTGTTTATTTCCTTCACCTTATGTTTTGCAGCAGCCCAGTTGCTATGAGCAAGAGTATCCTCAGAAGATATAAATATCTTCTTTTCTATTTTTTACTCTTACAAAGTTAACAAGAGAAAAAGATTTCCCTATCCATAAAAATTATTTTCTTGGCAAACACAATTGTTAGCTAAAATATATGCAGAATGAATATCTGTTTGATAATTCACTCTGAAAGAAACTGGATGGTGACTCTGAGCTTTACAGGTCTATGCAATTGCCAGATCTTGGACTGTTACAGGGGATGACTGCTGAAAGAGTCACATGGGTGTTTTCATTTGCTGGGAATTTATTCCTCCTTATTTTGAGGAGGATACAATTACCTTTAAAATCACTGGTGTCTCAGTCTTCAACATTCTCACCTCTCTGTCTGACAAAGTGAGAAAGACCTTAGACCTTTAAGAGTTTGGAAGAAAAATATGGGGGAGATAAAAGTAACTTATTCATTCACTCCACTTAACTACTTTTCCTGCCAGTTTGAGAAAAATTGGGTATTACTTTAAAGCCTGTGTTAGAAGTAGTGGCAGCAATAACCTCTGTAATGTGTTTGTTTGTGTAATTAGATGGCTGATATTGCAGTAACTCTGGATGATCCCATCCTATTCTGCTCATGAGTTCTGTTTTGACTGTCACAGTCTGCAGAAAATGTGTATAGAGGAAGATAGTTTTAGTGAAAAGATAATAATCTTTCTGTTCTTCTTTCTTTTAACTGCACCTGATTTAAGCTAGAGGAATAGAAGAGCCTGTTTTCTTCCACTTCACTTCTTTGGTTTATTCTTTATTTGAAAAGGTTGCTTGTAGATGAGTGCTGAAGACATTACCATCGGTGGCACAAGAGAGGCTGACATGGCTCTCCTGGTTTTTTTTCCAGATGAGGATAGGCATTCACTCAGGGTCAGTGCTGGCCGGCGTGGTTGGTGTGAGGATGCCGCGCTATTGCCTCTTCGGGAACAACGTCACCCTCGCCAGCAAGTTCGAGTCAGGAAGTCACCCACGCCGCATCAATGTCAGTCCCACCACTTACCAGTAAGTCCTCTAAACCCTGTCCTGCCCTCTGGGTTTTGTTTCAGCCTGTTCTCAGTTCCGTCTTGTGACGTGCTCTGTTCCCAGCACGTGAAATCCAGCAGAAAGTTGGTAGGGATACGGCATCAGGACGGCTGGAAAGAGGGGTGTTGCTTGGGGATGGCTGGCTTTTGTTTGCAGGTTTGTGTCAGAATGTGCAAAGAAATCGGGCATTGGAGGCAAGGAGGCACAGCAGAAAAGCCAGCCATTCCTGCCTAAAATAATATGTAAAAAAAGAAGTGGGAGATATCTCCCAAAGCAATGTAGTTTTATGCACTATTTCAGCTTTTGACTGAGGATTTGGGTTCTACCTGCTAAACACTGTTCATGAAAGAAAGCATACTCCAATTGTCTCAGAAGGAAGTCTAATTTTGCCAGAAAGGCCAGGCTTACAAAGAGATTTAATGCTTTCTTGAAGACAAAACTTCTTATTTAGTGCTGTAAAGACACACTTGATAGAAGCATCCTCATAACATAGGAAAAAAGATTGAAAATGGCAAAGCATTATCCCTAGTGTTTTGAAGAGATTATGCAAAAAGAGAGAAGGCTTGATTAAATCTGGCTATAAGGAACAGCTCCTAAATAAAAAAAAAGGTGTTATGTATTGTTCAGATTTGACAATTTGACTATTGGAATTTCTACTGCTTAGATTACAGTTGATGCACTCACTTATTTTTTTGACAGGATATCTCAATCTTCCAGTGTTCGGTATCTGAAGTAATTTTCTGAAGTAAGGTTTCGAGATTGTGGTAATTCTGTACACAGTTGCTCAAACCATATTTATTTTCATTTTTTTTTCTTTTTTTCTTTTTTTTTTCCTATTCAGAACTGTGAACCTCAATTATTTTCCCCCATAGCTGTCTATGTAAATAAAAAATTTAAATGGGATTTCTTCATCCAAGTATTGAAGTGTCTGCTATGTTAAAATATGAATCAGTCAGAAATTAAAGTTAAAAGTAATTAAACTAGTGCATAAAGTGACATTCTTCTGAAGAGCCCATTCACTTGAGATCATATTATGAAAATGAAGCAAGTGTAAATTGAGCAAGAGCTAGAATAACTGAATAGGCTTTGTATCATAAAGTGAACAGAAATAGATTCATACAGTTGTCTGGTAACATGCAAGAGAAAGACAGTCTATTATTCTCCAAATCCATCCAAATCCAATCTATCATTGTTTGCAAAAAACATTTCCACTTAAATAAAAATGATTTCAATAAATATATAGGAAATTTCTGTTTGGAACTTGATATTAGTTGAAAAGAAATTGGTTTTGGGACCTTCCCTACACAGCATTCTACAGCCTTTGGGTCTTGGTCATCCACTGTGGGATAGGAGGAGCCTTCTAAAAGCTTTTTTTGAATAGTCATCATAATTTTGTTTACCATTTGTGCTCCAGTTACAACAATTACACAGCAGCAAGGCCTTTGATGTGGTTTGTGGTCTGGTAAAAGGTGACCAAGGCCCTGTGACAAGGAGCTGGACTTATCTTGAATAGGATCAGCTTTTTCAAAAGTGCTATTCTCCAACCAGAGTCAGTCTTCAAGATATTCTGAAAGTGCAGTCCATACTTTTTCAAAAGAGAGAGATCTTAGCACATCACAAATATGATTCAGGGGAGTGATTTCACTTGTAGCATATCTTTCAGGCTGTATCAAAAACAGGTTTGCAGTTTTTTTCACTTCCCTTTAATCCTAGACATCCAGTATGAATAGGACAACTTTTTTCAACGAGGCTGAACTTTTACCTTATGTGACCTTCATGTCTCTACTTACCTTGCAGTAGTGTAGACTGTTGCTTCAAAAAGGGAAGAAGGTAGAAAAGTGATTGATTATGTAATAATGGTGTGCATAAAATTGCAAAACAATACACAACAAAATACAGAATTATTGTTATTTTTTTATCTGCATTGTTGCACTCAGTAAACAATCTGTTGTTAACGTGCTGAACAAATTCAGCGCTTGATTCAGAGAACTTGCAGTGGAAGTAACAGGCTAGACACATGGTTGCAGTTAAAGGCAGTAGAAATGGCAAGAAAATATATGTTTGCACGAGATACAAGATGAGTGGCTAAAAGTAGTGGTGATCAGGCCAGGAACAATTTTGTATTACAGGCTTGGGAAATGATGTGGAAAGATAAAATAAATGTACATGGGGCAACCTGAAAAGTTGATTTCAAACCATACCTTCTGGCATAGCTGAAAGCTTGAAAACAAACAGGAAAGAAGTCAAGAAATGACACTGTCGGCACAGTGGCCAGAAGAGACTGCAATTACAAAATACTCAAAGGGGCAGAATTATTCAGAGTTTCTGAAAGTGATCTGTGAGATATATAATTTAACATAATATCCTTGTGATGTCCAAATTAAAAAGCAGTCATCTGATGCATCCATATATAAGTTTTCCTAAAAATAATTTGTATGAGAATATATTTATTGTGTATAGTGATTCATCACAAACTGGAATGTACTTGTATTTTTATTTATATTCTATAAAATGCTTCTATTTGATGACACTGTGCTGCTGTGCACTTTGTTAATACTGCTGTTAATATTCTATTGTCTAAGAATCAGTGTTTTCCAAAGTAGATAATATTGCAGTCAGTATGAAAACAACGGAATTTTTAATTATATGAAATTACTGGCATTTATCATCAAGTGTTTTTGCCTACCATGGCCCCTGATGGAAGTTGTGATACAAGTTTTATAAAAGCCTGCAGGTCCTGGAAACATGCCCAATACTTACCAGCTTTCATTTTACAGTAAAGATTATGCATCATAAAATGCCATCAGCATTCAAATAATAATCACACTTCAGAATACCTATTATTGGTTATATACACTTCAAGCCTGTAATCTGCCTAAGTAAGAATCAGAATCTAAAATTATAAGTACAAGGTGTGATGCTTGTTGCTTGGCAGCAGCAGTGAGCCTGGGGCAGCCTTGCTCCAGTTACACCTGCCTGGGCAGAGCTCTGCTGTGTGTGAAATAACACCTTTTACAAAGGTGGACTTTGCATTTTTTGAATCTGAAACATCACTTCTGTTTGAAATATTCTGTTCTCTTGAACAGACAGGTCTTTGGACACAAGGATCACAGAGCCCCATTTGCTTTGAATCATTGAGCATTGTGAAATTAAATCACTGGAATAGCACTGGTGAAACTTCCAGGGAAAAATGTGGAAACTGGAGAGGAAGTTGAGCATCTCAGACTGGTCCCTGTTTAAAAATACGGACAGGAAAGAATAGGAGAAGTATTTATTTAATTCATCTACATTATCCTAAATTGAATAGAATTACCCTATTTTCCGTAGTCATGAAGGAAGTGCAGAAAGATTTACGAGACTGCAGCACAGGAGAGAAATTAAATTTTTTTTTTAGGTTTTGTTGTTTTTTTTATTTTGTTTTGTTTTGTTTTTGTTTCAGCCTTTAGTAATGATTTTTATGAGATATTAATATAATATATCCACATTTGTCTTGTTTTCCTAGTAGTGTTGCAATATAATGCTTTGGGATTTCTAAGCAGTTATCAAAAGCAGGTCACTACAGTTGTTCCTGTTTGTCAAGTAACTCCTATTTAAGAATGAATTCTTTTTTTCCCTCTACTTTCTAGCTCTAGTCTTTTGCACATGTATTTTTCTTGTGGAGAATATGCTTCTGGCACTCAGTGCTGGCTACAGATACTTTCCATTATCACATGCTGAGCAATGCATCTGGGACCTGAGCTTAGGTGAAGATGAACAGCCTGTGTCCCACATCTTTATCTTGATTTAGGAGAGAGGGCAACCCAGGTATATCTCCTTATTGAGCTGGGTGAGGTCATTGTGTGTTCATCTGCATAAATTCCTTCTCAGCCTTTAAAATAGATTTAAACAGATGTAGGTTTTTAATACTTCTTTCGCATAAACTTGTATGAAAGAAGTTTTAAATAATTGAGAAGCATTTGCACACTTTTCTCTTTACAGGGATTTTAAATTAAAATTTGACTTTTCTTTAAACTCCTTATTGATTTTTATTTTTACTAAATTCTTTTTCCTACAGGTTATATCTATTTATATGGATTATTTCCCCTACAGGTTATAGCTATCTCTAGATCTATATTTTTCTGTCTCATATGGTCAAACCAAAGGGCTTGCTCTCCAAGAGCTTTTCAGATTATTTAATTTCATTATTTCTTTTCAGATTTTATTTCTCAGCATCCTTTAAAAGACTTTGTTTCTATGTTGGTCAATTTACCATGTATGTTTTCAACAGATGTTGGTGGACAGACAATTTAGTTTTGGACAGATTGGGAACACAACTTATTCATGGCCACAAAAAAATATTGCTGGTCTAATTTTAGAAGCATAGTCAAAGTGCACTGGTTTTTCTTTGGTTTCTGCTCCCAGTGTCACCTACCTCTGTGAGCCTGCACCCCCATAGTCACCGTGTTTTGTGATTGTGGTCCTTGGGCCTCTGCTGTCTGTCTCTGCTTTCTGACACTGAATTTTCATTCAAGGTTCACTCTACACAGGGTAGCTGTGCTAGATCATTGTTCAGGCGTTAGCAGTGTGTGTTGCCCCACAGTTTCACACAGCTAAAATATGTTTAGGCAAAAGTCATCAGTTGGCTACACAACTGTTAAAACTAAAAAGAGCTCAAGCCTGCAAAAATCCAGGCAGGTCCTCAGACCAGCACTGTTACATCACTGTAAAGCCTGAGGCGTTTTAGTAGCAAACCTGTGCACTGAGCCTCTGATGTCCCAAACAGAGAGCAGAAACCCAGAATCCTTTTTTGCTTAGGTGGTTGAGAAAGAAAATTATTAAAGGTCAGGGATTGACACTTACCATGCTGAGCTGCATGTGGAATGCAATATATTCCATTAAAAATCCTGACTGGCCCTTTGATAACCTTATCTCTCTTGACCTTCTTGAAGAAGAAACACCAATACATTAACTTCCATAGTTTAAAAAGTAATAAAGCCAAT